TATTTGATCCCAAACATTGACTTCTATTGTATTCTAAAACAGATAGCGGCATTCAATTTGTGACGGAGTTCTGGAAACCTTCCGCGAGGTGGGCCACCAGCTCTTCGATCATATAATGACACATAAGTACCTAAAAACCGGCACATGCTCACCGGCATGCGTTCGTTTCTTCTGTATACCACTTTCTCATATTTAAATTCACCTCTCACTAAGCTTTTTTCTGCAGATTGATATGGGTGCGGACGGTTTTAGATATAATGAATAAAATTTTTGTTATATTCTTATATTTGTGTTTTATGGACCAGAAGATTAGGTGTTCTAGTTTCTGGCTAAACAGAAAGCGCATGGCGACGAATGATGTCAAAGCTCACGTGCCGTATTTTCTTTTCTTTCTAATTTTGGAATGTATGACATTGTTGTTATGGAAAGAATTGAATTTTTTTTTTTTTTTTTTTTTATATCAACTAAGAGGCAAACGAGCAAGACGGGTCACCTGATGGTAAGTGATTCACCGCCGCCCACGGTCACCAGCGTTTACGCCAGTGCGTTGCCTACCCTTCAGATAAGAATATGCTCTTTTCTTGAATAACCCAATGTCGCAGTTGTTGGGGAAGACCGCTGATGGCAACGAATTCCAGAGATTTACTGTGCGTGGCAGAAAACTGTTTTTAAAACGCATTGTAGTGGAACGCCAACCATCCAGATGGTGCGGATGATAGTTCCGGCGAGACGATCGGTTGCGAAAATCAGCGGCTTCTATTAAATTGAACAACTCCTCGGAACACTCCCCATTGTAAATTCTGTAAAGTATGCATAGGGAAGATAGATCCCTACGCAGTGCCAAAGGATCTAGCCGATCGGCAAGTACAGGATCGTCGACAATCCGAGATGCCCTACGTTGGATTCGGTCAAAGGGAGATAGCTGATAACCCGGAGCCCCGGCCCAAAGGTGGCAGCAATACTCCATGTGAGGCCGCACCTGCGCCTTATACAGCTTAAGGCGGTGAGGCGGCTTGAAGTACTGTTTGGCCCTGTTGAGTACTCCGAGTTTTTTGGAGGCCATTTTAGCCTTGCTCTCCAAATGACCGCCAAACTGGACAACACTCGAAATGTCTACGCCCAGAATGCCCATGTTCGACTTGGCACAAAGGTGAGTGTTTCCGAAGAGTGGCGATGCGACAAAGGGGGCTTTTTTAGCGGTGAACGCGCAAACTTGAGTCTTAGAAGGGTTAAACTGGACTAGATTTAGTCCCCCCCAATCGGAAATCTTCACAAGGGATGATTCGATTTCAGACACAAGTTTGTTCCGACACTCATCGACGTGATCCCGAGAGATATTGCTGCGGCCGAAATACAGTGCATCCACGGTACTGTCATCCGCATAGCAATGAATGCCACTGGTATGCAACAAATCATTGATATGCAGAATGAACAATGTCGGGGATAACACGCAGCCTTGGGGAACACCAGCATTTACGGTCCGGGGGTCCGAGCATGAGCCGTCTACGACGACTTTAACTCTCCGTTCCGCAAGGAAACTGCCGATCCACCTACAAAGTCTCTCAGGAAGCCCATAGGAAGGAAGCTTCGATAGTAAGGCTTTATGCCAAACCCGATCGAAGGCTTTCGCAATGTCCAAACTAACGCCTAGTGCCTCACCCCTACTCTCAACCGCCTGCGCCCAACGGTGAGTTAGTAAAGCCAAAAGATCACCAGCTGATCGGCCTTTGCGGAAGCCATATTGGCGGTCGCTGATCAGCTGGTGCTCTTCCAGGTAGCCCATGAGCTGGCGGTTGATTATGGATTCCATAATTTTGGAGAGTAAGGAGGTGATAGCGATAGGCCTGTAGTTGGACGGATCTGAGCGGTCGCCTTTTTTAGGGATCGGGTGTACTAGAGCCGTCTTCCATGAATGTGGGACAACGCCGAGGACATAAGAGTGTCTGAATAAGCGCGTTAAAACCGGTGCCAGCTCTGGAGCACACACCTTCAGCACAATAGGAGATATTCCATCGGGCCCACTCGACTTGTTGACATCCAGGGAGAATAGTGCTTTCCGCACAGCACACTGTGTGAAGCGGACGTCCGCCATTGTGGTTTCACACCTCGGGATGGTAGGAGGAGTGTTCCCCCTGTCGTCAAGAGTCGAGTTTTCCGCAAAGATAGAGCCAAGAAGATCGGCTTTCTCCCTTGCGGAATAGGCCAATGAACCATCCTCCCCGCGCAAAGGTGGAAGCGTCGACCGACAGAAATTACCCTGGACAGCCTTGGCGAGAGACCAGAACGCACGAGAGCCAGATGGCAGGCGCGCCAGTCTCTCGCCAATTCTCCCAACGTAATTTGATTTTGCCAATGCAATTTGCTTCTTAAAGAACCTGGAAGCAGAGTTGTACTTCTTCTTGAGTGAGTCAGAGTTTACATCCTTAGCGGCCTTTGCCCTAGCCCAAGCCTGGTAGCATTCCCGCTTGCGACGATGTGCGTCACGGCAGGACCCACCAAACCAGGGCCGAGACCTGCCACCGACAGGCACCGCTGAGTTAGGAACAAATAATTCCATGCCCTGCAGCACGACGCCGGCAACCGAGTCAGCGCAGGTGCTAGGATCCTCTGACTTGAAGCAAATCTGCCCCCATGGGTAGGATGCAAAGAAAGAGCGCATCCCGTTCCAGTCTGCTGACCTGTAGTGCCAAACACGTCGTCTACCAGATGGAAGTGGTTGTGACGAGACGGTGAGAGGCACCACGCTCCGAACTAGGCAATGGTCCGATGACCCGAGAGGAGCATCGACCCATACCCGAATGGGTTCGGGGCGAGAGGTCAGCAGAAGGTCCAATAAGGAAGGCGAATGGTCTTCCACATCCGGCACACGTGTGGGAGAAGGTACCATCTGCGTCAGACCATTGGCAATGGCAAAATCGTGAGCAGACCTTCCCGCATGGTCAGTACGTGTTGACCCAAGCCAGTCAGAGTGGTGGGCATTAAAGTCGCCCAAAACCACAATTTCTGCGGTAGGAATCTGCTCAAGTATTCTGTCAGTGGACACCTGCAGATGCTCGAAGAGCCGGTCAATTTCCGAATTTCCGCTATGAGACCTGTAAAGGCACGCGTAGACGCGAATGTGATCCTCACAATCGACGCGCACCCAAAGGGTATTTTATGGTATTATGGTATTTATCCTTTATGGTATTTACTTACTCTTATTATCTATAAAGGTATTTCATTACGACGGAAAAACATTTATAACAGTGAGTATATGTACTAAACAAAGTCTCATAATGAGAACATTAATTGTCGAATAAGAAAATTCTAAATATCATAATAATAATAATAATGGTTAACATAAACATGCTTTTTTTGGAACGAAATCATTTTTGAGTAAATATTTTTAATGATCATGTACGTTCCATTTGAATTATCAACGCACGTAACTTAAGAGCGGCCATATCATAATTGAACCTATATTACTCGCAGAACACCAAATATTTTAAAAGACGCCGTTCAACAGGATTTTTTCAGTCTACATTTAATCTGAACTGGAAAGAAACTATTCAATCACACAAATAACAAATAATTCATGTTGTGTAAAATTATATATCTTAACAAAAGCGGTCATAAATAATCTTTATAGGCTACGTACAAAGGACAAGCGGACTATTAAATCAGCCAAATAAAGAGTTTGACGTACATATTAAGCGTAACGTGGGTATTAATAATAAGGTTTTATTGTTGCAACAGGAGCCTGATATTCTAAGCATACAGTAGAAGGTCGAGTACCTAGTGCAAATTATGTTGTATTTCATCTAAGCCAGATTAACTTAAGATATTCAATTAAAGGAAACTTCATTCTTAACTTTTTCTTTTGTTGTTTAAATTTACATTTCATTCAAAATGTTTGCTATATATATATATATTTGAAGGAATGAGATATGGTGAGCGAATTTTAATTTAAAAGCGCTAAAGTATTTTTATATGTTGAGATTAAATTATTTATTCGTGGTTAAAAAACCAGGACAATAAATTTATTACTTGGATAAAGCGACGCGACACGATAACCCTCCTATCGTGACCGCCGCTAAATATGTGTATGTGTATGTATATATCTGACGCTAGCGTGGTATGGACAAGTGATGCGTAGAGAGAAGATGCACGTATGTGACTAGGAGATGTATGGAAATGGTAGTGCAAGGTTGGCCGAAGAGGACATGGATGGAGTGTGTGAATGACGATATAAGAGAGAGAGAGAGAGAGAGAGAGAGAGGAGTGTTGAGATGACCGCTGATAGAAGAGAATGAAAGAGAAAAATTAGCTGTGCCGACCCCACCTAGTGGGATAAGGCGGAGAAAAAGAAGAGAAGATATCCGACTCTGGCGACTTAACACCTTTATGCAAGCCATTGTCGCTCAAAACACAGCCCTCCGAATCTGATCTCGGTGGTTTTAGGCTCTTCATGCACCGGTCACATTTTTCGTCGATCTTGTGAATTAGAAAGAAGAATTTCAACGTACGAATTAACCCATAAGGACACAGCCCACTGAGTTTCTCGACGCACCTTCTGAGTGAGTGCAATTCCGATCCGGTGGTAGATTCAGAGAAGCACTGCTCTTGCTTTGTTAAGGTCAGTGTTAGCAATCCCCTCGGGTTGAGTTCATGAGCTCACTCACCGGTCCCTGAGTAGTTGCAATAGCCTCTTAAGCTACCAACGTTTGGGTAGGAAAAAATATATAAATTTAAGAAAGAACTACTAAGATTGTAAACTTTAGCCCTTCACTTTTTTTATAAAATTTTTTCTCCTCGTTAGCTTTCGTTTCGCTAATCTTTCTTAGAATCAAAATTATATAATAGATTATCTGTTGTTAAAAAAATCATTCGTATTATAATTTTATCAAAACTGTAAGGTTTAAATGGGATCATCTGAAAACACAGTACACATTTGTATGCAAAGTAATAAAATACAATCAATAGATCATATTAGAATGTTGTGATACTGTTAAAGCTCCTACCTGTGCGGTATCGGTGTCTCCGTCGCCTTCGCTGCCCCCGCCGCGGTCGTTCACAATGTCCTAGCGAACAAACAAATACTTATTTGATACTTCATCACAATGACAAAATAAAGTTTTTATTTATTTATTTGTATTATTTACCATATCATCACATCGAAAGCTACATTAATAAAATCGGTACTGACTAAGGGCATAACCAAAAAATCTCAGTATCTTGGTGATAGGGTTGACCTAAGAAGAGCGTGCTCTCTTAATCTAGTTATACCTATGATCGATTTTCAAAATCGAATAAAATTGGCATTCATTTAACACACTGGAAGTTGTCAATAATCTTGATCGACGCGAGTCGATGTAGAGGCGTTGGTGCTCTGTTTTGTATCGGGCGTCGAAGTTATCTAACAGATAGTTCGTGACAGCCCGCTTCCAGAGCAGAGTTCCTCTCCTAATGCATCGAACCACTGCGCTAATCGATAATGCGTTTCCAGAGATAGATATACAATACGGTTTCTAAACGGTATGACATATCTTTTCCAAAACTAAGTTCAAGTCTACAGTGGTAAGCACAGATTCGGCTCTGTCTCCAACGTTACATTTATTCAGAGGCGACGGTAAGAAAATCGTTTAAGTAAGCTATAAACTCGTCTGCCTTCGGTGGCAATAATAAAAAACAAAGGCACGTGACTCGATAAATTAACACAACACAACGACGGAGAAGAAATTCAATCGACTTCACTTTGTATTGTCACTACAGAATAGTTTATCTTTGTTTAAGAAACAAGTGATCGCTGCAGGAATAAGACATGAGACAATTGAAAACGCGTTCTTTTTTTATTCAATTTAATTAAGTGCTGCTTTTTTTATCAATTTACAGAAATATATATTTATCTTAAGAACGAAGACTTTTAAATTATTCCGAAGGCTTTGCGACTTCTGGACTTAAACTCTGAATACTGCCAATATACAAGTAATCACAGCCGATATTCACTCAAAAACAAAACAAAAAAGGGACTTTAAGAAACCAATTGCTCCGTTTTAATTTCATAATTATTTTCCAGTTGAACGACATTTCGACGAGTATTAATTAAGCAGAGCACACAAACTTAATTAATAATTTATTTCCACATCTATGTTTCTGAGACTAGTTAAGCAAAAACAAGGGATCTAAAGACCAAACTCGTTGAGATTACTTTTTAATATCATTTTAAAAGCAAGAATAACCCAAACAAACATTCGTATTGTTTCGTCAAAATGGAACGTACTGTTGCTTCTAAAAGGTATTAAAGACGGACTATATTAAAAGAGTTAGAACGGATCGATTTTAATGAGACTTTTTATAATATTTATTCGAGATCGCGTAAGAAGTTCTATTCACTCGTATCGAGGAATAGTTATTCGGTGTTCAAATAATACAATAAGTTTTGTGTTATTTGAAAACCAATGAGTTTTACAATAAAAAAATGACATAGGGTATTGAAATCAATGCCGTATTTTAAGTGCCTTTTCATCCTACTAATTTCTGCTGAAATGGAAACATACGTTCGATTTTACGGAACAGTCATTACACTATACAACTTAGGCCTCGTGTATTAAGGTGGTTTATCTTTCCTGTCCAAATTTACAAATATTATTTTATTTTTATTTCGTCTACCAGAAATGGAATCGGACAGATTAAACCTGTTTTTTTGTTTTGTTTTGTACGTTTTTTCCTGCAATTTCCAATTACAAAATATAACGAATGTCTATTTACTGTTTCGGCTACATCAACTAACAAAGGGTAAACAGTTGTCGGACTTCAAATGGAATGTTATATCTGTTGCAAAATAAAAGGTTGCCCTATGAAAACAATTCGTTGTTTATGGTAGGGGATCGGTTACTAATTGTTGTTTAGACTCCGGGACCAGGCCCGACCGTGGGTGGGATTAAATGAATATCACGAGCTACTGAGAAAATACATTAGTGCGAAAACCTGTAGTCTCATCAAACATACGTAAGAACACGTAGGTCTGAGTAAAGAAAAAAAAATCTCAACAATATTTTTATTTTCGTATTAAAATGTGACTGGCCTTTATTATTTTTAGTCGTAAAATATGTGTGAGTAGATGTTTGAAACGGCGAAAAAAAAAGGACTAAACGGGTGTAATTTTAGATCGTTCCTTCGTCTTATAAAAATTAAAGTTAATGCGAAGAATACGCAAACAGACATGACAGTTATGGATGGGTACTATAATATATCATAGAGTATTTAAATATTTGCTCTAGTGTGAGAGGGAAAAGAAATCAATCAGTTTAGAACAACAAATTGTTTACTACCTTTTCTTTAGACCGGCTTTAGAAATCTACACCTGTAATAGCTGTCAACTTGAGCTATTACTATGTATTACTTCAGTTTTATTTATCTGTATTTTTAAATTCAAATCAGTTGACTTTAAACAAAATACATTTATGTATCGAACGAAATAAAAACATGTTCTTATAATATAGACAATTTAAGGGAGGTTAAATGATATTTTTACACCATACAATCGGAAGTGCTACAAAAATGAAGTAAGTAATTATTTTATTTTATGTTCTACTGTGCTTATCACTTACTGCATTTACCGTATTGGCTGTACTAATTACGAAATGTATTTAATAATTATATGTTACTTATTGTATGGAAATCTTTGTTTTTTTTTTAATATATTTTTATTACCTAGACACGTACGTTAGGGGATACAGTAATCAAACAGGCGGTTCCCCCAGGGAGAGGCCGCTCCACTGCACTGCGGAGTGGTTGACCCTTGCGATTATCCCTAATGCGGATAGCTCGGACGCGTCATTTTTGGTAGTGGGGACGCGCTGTCCCCTGTGCCTTTTCATGAGTTCTGTCTCTTGCGAGTTTCGGACACAGCTTGTTGAGCGACAGGTTTTAGTCAGTTCGACTCTGACACGCACCGCCCTCCATCCCCAGTGGAGAGCGGAAGTCCAGCGATTTCATACTGACCAAAAAAAAAAACACGTACGTAGAACGAGACCAAAATTCTGAAGTGGTTACGGAAGCATATGGACGTTACAACGTGAATATATCATCACAAACGACTATGCCACGCTTTAGACCGGCACGTAATAAGGATGCCGGTATCTAACCCGTGCGAGCTCCCGAGACGCCTTACCGCCCATACATTTTACGAAGGCGAGTGAGTATGAACAAGTCCCGTGTCACTTTGCCCTAAACACGTCATTACGGATCCTGCCGATCCACCAACGCTGCTTTTAGGTACCTCAAGCACCGGGCATAGTTCTCGTCGAACCTGTCGCTTGCGACGAAGGTCTCGACAAGTAAATTAACCTATATACACAGCCCACTGAGTTTCTCGCCGGATCTTCTCAGTGGGTCGCGTTTCCGGTCCGGTGGTAGAGCCTACGAAGCACTGCATTTTGCTAGAGCTAGTTTTAGCAACACTCCCGGCTTGAGCCCCGTGAGCTCACCTATTAGTTCGGTGAATCTAGTGTCACTTACGTCCATATCCACATGTCCGACGCCGGTCGACCGTCTCTTCGGCCTGCGTCGACGCTGTATGACATTGAGCGCCGCCTGCGTGCTGGCAGGCGAGGCGTTACTCGACTTGCTCTCCGTACTGCTTTCTCTGTCTTTCTCCTCTTCAACTTCTGCTAAAAGAAAAATAATGTATACTAATATATAAATCTACGGTTTTTTCTACAGTAGTTTTTACGGATGTTTCGTTATAACAACTGAAACGTGCATCCGATTGCCTTGAAACTTGGTATCCATGTGGAAAATACATATCCGACGCTTGAAAGGCAAACGTGACTAAGCGACAATGCGTGAACTTTACAGTAGACCAACTTAAAGTTGAAATACCTGAAAAAAATTATATTTTAACGAATCTAGCTGTAGGATTGAAATGATTTTAATAGACCTAGAAATATATTTTTTTTGCTCATCCAATATGGTTATTGCCTATCATTTATGTATAAAGCAGTTATTGTCGCTTAGTCACGTTTGCCTTTCAAGCGTCGAATTGTACTTAATGGATAGGCTAATATTTATATGAGTGTTGGACCCCCTACACCAGTTGCGGCGGCGTTCATGATAAGAATCTTTGTGGGGGTGAGAAATAACAATGTTAATTTCATATGCCCAGCGAAGCGGACGGGTACAGCTAGTAGGTATATTAATAATCCGTTAAAAGTATATATTACGTACACAAATATTACTTAGTAAAAGTAAACAAAGGTTACAAGTAGACTCATATCTTCTTTAGTACTGTAAATAAGGCTGTTATTTCTTAATAGAGGTATTTTTAGTACTGTTATTGGCAGACGAGCACGCGGCCCGTCTGACGACAAGTGATCGGACACGCTCATGCCTGCTTTTTAAAAGGTTGGATTACATTCTTTTTATATTCATAGCAGTATGGGAACTCCTTATAGCGGTAGCTTGCTTATCTAACGAGCAAGGTTTCGCAGATTAAAGGTGTTTTTTCTATGTCACAGCTAATACCATATCAAAAAATCAAAACAGTTAATTGCATGGCGTTATGAAACCAAGTTAAGTTTGAGACTAGAGGCAGTTAAAGACGGAACCTCTCACTCAAATGGAGTCCGGTCATGGCGTCTCTTGCTATTACGTTTTTTTTTATTGCTTAGATGGGTGGACGAGCTCACAGCTCACTTGGTGTTAGGTGGTTACTGGAGCCCATAGACATCCACAACGTAAATGCGCCACCCACATTGAGATATAAGTTCTAAAGTCTCAAGTATATTTACAACGGCTGCCCGACCCTTCAAACCGAAACGCATTACTGCTTCACGGCAGAAATAGGCAGGGCGGTGGTGCCTACCCGCGCTGACTCACAAGAGGTCCCACCACCAGTAACGTGTACCTGAAACCCCACAAATGCCAACGTACCGGTGCGGTTGTCTTCTTTAGTTGCGGCGGCCGTCGTGGCGTTCGTCGATGCTGACGGAGGTCGGCGCAGCGGCAGGGTGACCGTAGCTTCAGCTGCCCCCGACCGAGGCGACGCTCTACCGGCGTCCTCCAGCTCGAACTACACCAAACGCGAATCGAAACACACGTATTTATACAATAAAACACCGACAAATCGATCCTATTAATAACGTTAAGCGTTATTCGAACAGCATCGCGAGTGTGAATTTCGTGAGTTACGGTGCAAACAAAATATAGCTTTAAAACGAAAGGGAGTTAAGGGTGGACGTTCATAAAAAAAACAAAATGTGTGCAATTCACACGTGGTAGAAGTGAAACCTTCCAAAATTAAAATAAAATTATCCTAAATGTCTTAAGTATATGTAAAATTTTGTCATTAGTAAATAATTGTAAGGTAGCGCCCTCTGTGAATTGATATTTTAATTTCACGTATAATCCTAAATTAAAATTCACTACAAGAGCTTTCATACACGCGTTAGTATTAAAAAATCTCACAGATGGCGCTGTATTAAATAGTATGTATATTTCTGTCTCATTCTTTGCTGGCTTCATCCTACACATTTTTGTATTTGTGTCTCTTACCTGTCGTTTTTGCCGTTGCATCCGGTTTGAAATCACAACGATTCTAAAGAAGTTTTCACTTCAAAAAAAATACCTTTCTAACTATTTTAAAAATAACACAATAAATTCAAAAGTCTATAAATGAAAAGCGATGTCTGTATTAAACTACAAAGCCGTTGTTAATGAATTCAAATCGCCGTGGTATCATTGAGACTGATCTATTTACGTATTCAGGGTGTGAGAGACAACGAAAGCCTAATAGAATACGGCTAAAAGTTATTTAACTTAATTCAAAACAAAATACTACATAGTCGTTTTCTATACTGATATTATAAAGAGGAAAGATTTGTTTGTTTGTTTGTTTCGAATAGGCTCCTAAACTACTGGACCGATTTGAAAAATTCTTTTGCCATTAGAAGCCGACATTGTCCCTGATGAACATAGGCTACTTTTTTTAATTTTTTATTTTTATTTTTATTTTTGGTTTCATGTGTGTTTTAATGTGTCCGAAGCGAAGCGAGGGCGGGTCGCTAGTATTGTAATATATTGATTGCGTTTTAGTGCGTATGTAAAAAATGAAAAGTTCACGGTTAACCTCTATGTAACGTGGCTACCGGAACCCTTAAAGCATCACAATATGAATTCCACTATCCGCCCAGACCTCACGTCTGTATCTCAATTGTATAGAATAACGGCTGCCCCGCACTTTAAACCTTTGAGGTCCAATGTCCACACGTATTGGACATGTAGTCTTACATTACATTAGGACCGCAAAGGCTTAAAGCAGAATGGATGGCTACTTCGCAACACAAGTATAAAGGATGTTGGTACCTTATAACGCGTTCTACCGTAAATTACGATTACCGATCGCAATTAGCTAGTAGGTATAAACGCTTCTGTCTTAAGAAGTCCTTCGTCGCTTTCTACCACACTCATGGGAAGAGATTATTCTAAGCAAAGCCAAATGAATCAGTGGCTCGGTCGTGTTTCTGGCATTAGAAAAGTCGCTGTACGGCAGTATCCACTAGCCTTCGGGGTTCATGGTCGAAAATATTGGCATCATGGTAATTTTTCAATATCAATGATTTATATCTCAAATCACTTTACGATACCATTTTTATTAAATTTAAATTAGTGTTAACGTTAATACATTAAGGTTAATTTCAAAGTCAAAGCCCGCAATAATCAGTGCAAATTCAAGAACAATATACCCCTTAACAAACAATTGGAATACATTGTTGCTGGTACGGTGCACCGGAAATCTCGTTGTATTTTGATCCTTACAAGAAATAATTGAGATCGTTTCCATAATAACAGCCGTCAGTGTTTCAATGTTAATTATCTTCACGACAAATACTTTGATAAAGAGTAGGCAGAGTTAGGTACAAACTTTTCTATTTTACAATCTGATCGAAAACGTAATTATTTTTTATTCACAAATCAGGATAATGAAATTTTGCTGATGCATTTACCTTGCCATAAGAAAGATAGTTTGCCTTAGTTTTATCTATACCTGTACACTAAATAAATAATAATAATACATTTATCATTAATTCACAGCTGTTAGTATTATTCATAGCTGTTAGTAAACGACTTTCTGCAGGTTTGGCTAGCGGTCACACAATAAAATTCTTCTTATTTCCACCTCATGTTTCAAGGAGTGTGGCGGCATTCACGTTGTGACATCTATGGGTTCCGGTAACCTTAGGATAAGCTTCAACTAGGGTGATTGACGGCTTTAGGCTCTCAAGTGAATCGAATCCAGTATTAAGTTTGGTAAAAAACGTGCATGCATTCACGGAACGTTTAAAAAACTGTCGGTATCGTAAGCATATATTTGTATTATCGCGGTGAATCCATCGAGTTCCAGTGGTAACAGACAGTAAACAGATTTGTCTCCTTCTAACATCTTACACGCAGTCTTCAGTCTGTGTGTTGTCATAACTATTGCAACTCTGTGTTTATGATTATATGTTAGATAGTCGCGAATCTTTAAAACAATAGGTATAAATTACTTAATAAATCATGAAAGAAAAATTGCAATATTTTATAACCCTGATTTGACTATGACGAAAAAAAAAAAAAATGTGTTGTGTCGTGGGACACCGGATAGGAAAGAAGATCCTTATTATCTATACTAATATTATAAAGAGGAAAGATTTGTTTGTTTGTTTGTTTCGAATAGGCTCCGAAACTACTGGACCGATTTGAAAAATTCTTTTTCCATTAGAAGCCGACATTGTCCCTGATGAACATAGGCTACTTTATTTAATTTTTTTTTTATTTTTGTTTCATGTGTGTTTTAATGTTTCCGAAGCGAAGCGAGGGCGGGTCGCTAGTAAAAATATTAATTTAAAGTTCTATTCGAGGTATAAAGAAAATAAAACTGGAGATTTCGCAACAACCCACGGTCATTCGGTAACGTGCGAACTTATTGTGGTACACTTCATTCACGGTTGTTTGCATAAGAGTTAGTGCGCAAACGAACGCTCTCAGATCGTGGTCAATTAATGATAAAAAAATATGTTATTTTTTGTACGTTATTACAAAGTTAAGTCGTACACTGTGTGCATTACTAATAAAAATCTTACGTTACGGACGTTTTTCCCCGGGTAGGGTACCCCTCCGCATCGTCCCATAAGAAACTTCGTTCCAAAAAGTGTATGTAACGAACACTAAGAACACACAGGCACCAACCAAAGTTAATGTTTTATTACGTTTATTTTTTAGTTCATGCATTCCTATACATACGTAGAATAATTATGATTATTATATGAAATACAAAGATGCGTATGTAACTAAAGGTTCAAGCAAATGAAGAATAAATTCAATAAAGTAATGAGTGTGTTTTGAACGAATTTTGTAAACGATTACAGTCGTCATGCTAAAATGTATTTTACAAATAAATTTAGAAGGTTGAATGTTTTATGATATTCTATCTCTAATCAAACAAAAATTCGAGTATCATTGATTCAAAAGCTATTACGAGCAACTAAAACAAATTTATCAGCACAACACAAAACCAGGTTACTGAATGAAAACCTAAAGGTATTTACATCCGTTCACGTCATCAAATAACGCATGCTGACCCTCTCTGCAGGATAATGTTTTGACCCGAAAAATCCAAATCGGTCGTGGTATTGAATTATCAAGCCAAAAAAGAAGTAATTTCAGTTCAAACATGTCCTTTGAGTCAAATAAAAGATAAAATCTTGTTTTTTTGTTGCTTGCTTCGTAATGTACATTTCTTGAATATAGCTGTTTACTCTGAGTTTTTCAGTAGATTGGAATTTGCAGAGATATTTGATTTTTCAAAAAAATATATTTTGTAGGGGACTTTTCTTTTAAAATCAATATACATATTAAAAGGTAAGTTTTTTTCAAAAAGGGATAGGGTAAAAAAAAATGTACTTGTAATTTCAATACCACGAGTAAAGAAATTTTATCAGTTTTACGAATATTTCCAAAACATTTATCACACCATGCGCGTTCTCCGAAGGCTGCCGCGTGACGATCAAGCGAGACTGTCTGGCGAGTTTTATGAACCGTTTTATAAACATTAAACGCATTCGAATTTAGTTACAATGTGACAAAATTACGATACAGCTACGGACAGTGTTAATGTGTTGAAAATATAATGTGCATAATATAAAACACACAACTTCGAAGGAACTTTACAGAGGTGAAATAACAAAAGATATATTTAAAAGTGTCATCGAAGTGAAAACTGAATAAATAGCCTTTAATAATGGTAGTCTGTAAAGTTTTTTTTTTTTTCGAAGTTAAAATTGATGTACATTTACGATTTAGACATATTAAATTTTTTAAGCTCTTTGCTAATGGGATTACCGCGATGAGTTTAAAAGTGAGTATATCATTTAACACATGTAAACTGACCTGTATTATTTTCGCATTATTTACATTTCGAAAACTGTTTAATTCAATAATAGTTTAGTTAGTTTAATTGAAAACAATATCGCTTGATCGTGTGCGGCGAGCTTAAGGACCTTGTTCGTGGGGTCGAGCCGTAGCCGCCACGACGGGCGTCTCTCGCTGTTAGCCGCGATCGTAGCTGTAGCTGTTGCCGTAGCGCAAGCAAGCGCTAACGTCACAGCGACGTCGCCGGCTAGTGGGCCGCGAGCCTAGCCGACAACACCCCAACATAATATATACACATCAGCCGACCATCAGCCCACTGTTGTCCGGCCGCTGAGACGATGCGTTTCTGAATGGTCCTTACCGAGCGGACGATGTAACTTTGAGGTGGCGTTAAATTTGCAATTAATAAATTTTTTTTTAATGTTATCTTATGTAATTTCGAGGATGAATCGATCGCATTACCCCAACGGCCGGACAATAAACATTATAATGTAGTGACGGGATCTTTACACAATGCTTACAAGGGTAGTTAAAAACAAATGTATCGTTCAGGACTAAGCATATTTTAATTTACTTTAAATGAACTTATATACAAGTATGAGTCTAGTTTACATTCTATACATTCTGCTATGTTTACAGCACTTAATGTATTTTAAATGAAGACTGATATTCGAAATACTATAATAGATAACGTAAATTTAACCATCACCTATTAGTAATTTTAAACTTATAACGTACTGTAGGTAAGGGTGTATCGTAAAAAAAAAATCCTTACCGATCCGTTGTCTGTGGTCGCTGGAGTTGGAGTTTCATCCTTTTTGACGTTAGTCGGAGTGGAACTCTCCGTCGTGCCGTTGCTGGATTTCTTTTTGACAAGCTGTTCGGCTGACTTAATCTCATCGAGGGTAACGCCCTGGGTGGAACGTCGAGTCTCGCGGACCCGTTTCGCGTGCGCCTTCCTTTGCGTTTCGCTCTCCTCGTCGCGGACCGGGGGCACGAACGATCTAAACACCACATCAGAGGAAGGGGGGTTCACAATTGACGAAAACGTAACGTAAAGCCAAAAAAAAAGCTGAAACCGATCATTGTTAACAAAAAAAAAAAACTAATTTTCTAGTACATGCGGATTACTGGATCAACTGTGACTGTGACATAATACTGACATGCGCGAAATAAAATCGTATCGTGAACAAAGCATCTTCAGGCGAAACTAAAACGTAACAAAAAAAAACAAAAAAAAAAAATTACACACCAAAAAATCTAAAGCTTGAACATTCGAACGCAGAAATGTTTTTAATTTCTTTCGAAACGGAAACAGCAGTGTGCTTAGTGCGAGTTTTTTAACGTTCTCGATAGCGTAAAAGTTAGCTCATATTTGTATGGAATGGGATCGTTTGCGTACGTTTGCCGCTAGGGGCGCTGTTCCAACTGCATACAAAATTGGCTTCACTTTTACGCTATCGAGAACGTTAAGAAACTCGCACTAAGCACACAGTTCCAATGTCCAAGACGGTGTTCACAGCTTGGGGTCAAAAAGGGATAGTAAAACATTTCATTCATAGTATTATGAATATGAAAAGTGACGCAATAACGTTAACGCTATATGAATTAAAAATGACGAAAACAACTTCACTAGCGTTTCAAGCGATTATTCACGTTGACGATAAATCAAAGTTTATTGAATGACATTATGTTGTTAAGTTTCGACCACAAAAAGCGAACGTTTCCATCAAAACGACTGTGTTTTTATATACTTGAAGAAGTTCTTGAATATGTTGCCTGGCGACAGCTTCGTGGGCGTTGTAGACGTCGGCGTCGCATTGTTACTGTTCGACTCTACCGTCTCCGCGCTGTCACATACACGCTACTATTATACTATTACTATTTTGTCGTTACATAAAATATGTTCAACACTAAAAATTTACCCTCGCTTGATTACAGACAGATTAATATCTCTAGTCTTTTTTTTTTATTGCTTCGATGGGTGGACGGGCTCACAGCCCACCTGGTGTTAAGTGGTTACTGGAGCCCATAGACATCTACAAAGTAAATGCGCCACCCGCCTTGAGACATAAGTTCTAAGGTCTCAAGTATAGTTACGGTGGCTGCCCGCCCTTCAAACCGAAACGCATTACTGCTTCACGGCAGAAATAGGCAAGGTGGTGGTACCTACCCGCGCGGACTTACAAGAGGTCCTACCACCAGTATTCGTGAAAATAATATTTCCTTTGTGTTATGTTCCCTTTAAATCTTCGTATACGATTGTCCTTCTTCTAATACATGCAATAGATATGCTAATGAGAGTAGATGTTACAAATTTTCCCTTGCGTCATAACAATGTTTCACTTTTACATCTAATGTACCATTATTGTTCTTAAGTGTCTTATTTACTTTGCCATTTACGTGTTCATTTTTGTATTTGTTTAATACTGTTTCTGTTGTTTTGAGTTTATTTTTATAATGTGCATGAATCGCTGGGAGCGAAGATAATCTATGAGCTTATGTTTTTGTTTTATAATGTAATATATATGGCGGTTTGATTAAATAGACTTAAGCATCCCAATATAATATATCCGAAGATACCCGGAGTATTCCGGCCGAAAGAGAAATGCGACTATACTGCAAATAAGAAATAGAGAGCTATAGAACCGGACAACTATAGAAATCGGTTGCCTGTTAATCAGATATTCTTTGTATTGCTAGCTTGTGGTCATTTACGATAAAATATCTGAGGTTGTGGCAGGACCGTTATCTCCATTCACTGATAAGAGCATAGACATTCATAATTTATCTAATAAAGTAAAATAGGACAATATATTGGATTTATTTTTAATCGTTTTAATCATGAAGGGAATGGTTTGAAAACTTTCCAAAAAAATGTTTCCAAAACGTAGACGATCGGAAACACGATTAGTCTTAATTTGTTTAAATTTATTCAGATCGTTTTAAATTTACATTTGCTTTGCACAGATAGACCACTAAAGCCCCAAACGGTACATCGAAACGCCATTTAATTTGATTACTTAACGTATTTCGAGATCTAACACTAGAAATTGCCAAAACTTAAACCAGAATAATCAAGTATCAATCAATATTTTATCGTTTGAACATAATTCTTTAAACAACTTTCTCAAGCACATTTATTTTTAATGTACCGTTGTAATTAAAATATAAATGTGACTTGCGGTGTACTACTGTCTACATAAGAATTCTATATCGACATTGAAATAATTCTTGAGTCATTAGAACTCATATCTCAAGGTAGGTCGCGGCATTTACGTTGTAAATGTTTATGGGTTCCGGTAACCAATTAACGCCAGGTGGGCTGTGAGCTCGTCCCACCCATCTATGCAACAAAAATGTGGAACGCATGCGAATAAACAAACAAACAAGACTGCAGAATCGATCGAGTTCAGAGATCGCTTCAATGTTCGTTCTCAAGATATAAATCGTCTTATCGCATTAAAAGTGTACAATTTCCAAAAATATTCGAAATTGAGTTAATATGCGGAATAATTTGGTATCACCAGTATTTTTCTCATAGATACTGTTAAAAGAGCGTTGTTTAGTTTTAGTTTTTTTTCTTTTAGTTTACTTATGTTTTGACTATTATTAACAAAATTAATACATAATTTTATCTTACTGTAAAATACAGATAACGTAACTGGTAAAAAAATAAAAATAAATGTTGCAAAGGTGATTAATTTTAAAAATATCACATGTTAAACCTTTAAAACGCTCTCCTGTAAAATTAGTAATTTTTGAGATTATACAGTTTTAATGCGAGAAGACGATATAAGGGGCCTTGCGTAGAAAGAACTCGTTCGTATTCTATACACTGGTACAATACAACAATAATTGGGTCGTCTACGTAATTGTTCTATAAAACTACGTAATTACTCTATAAAAATATTGATGGCCAAAAAAATACGTATGACATCATACCTCCTGACCGGCGCCTGGGAGTTCGTTGTCGCGTTGTTGGCGTTGCTTGTCGCGCTCAGCGCAATTCTCGCGTTATTTTCTTTATCCCTTCTTTCCGCTGGACTTATTCTGTTTTGGTATGCAACGTTAACTTTACATAAATCGACATTATTTATTTATATAGAATTAAAAAAAAAACAAAAAACAACTTTTAATTGGATTGGAATGATTTTTTTTTGTTACAATATTTTGAATAGGCATTTCAAAACTGTACTATAAAAGTATTTACAGTAAAACATTTATATACAAACAAACAAATACACGAAGCGCACAATTAGTTGGTTGAACGTTGATTGAAAAAGCTGATATAGCGGTAACATTAATTAAAATGACAAAAACGTGTGAAATACATCGATTGATTAATCTCTCATCTCGTTTTGAAATTAAGTAGTTTTATTAAGTAATGTAAGTTAAAATGGTCAGAATCGTTTCAAAGCGTTTCCAGTTTTACTCTTATCATTAATATTTGTTGATGCACTCGAGAAGATAAAAATCAATATTATCCTACAACTAAACACCTGAACTATTTTTAGACTTTTTTAAAATATATAGAAATCTATATGTATAAAAATGAATTGCTGTTCGTTAGCCTCGCTATAACTCGAGAACGGCTGGACCGATTTGGCGAATTTTGGTCTTAAATTATTTGTGGAAGTCCAGAGAAAGTTTAAAAGGTAGATAAATATGAAAATGCGCAGAATTAAATAAAAATAACAATTTTGTTTTTCCTTTGATGTGTCCCCCGTCGGACGGATTCCTTTTGTTTGTTTTAAGTTTATTTTATACAAAAGCTTAGGTCTTTTATTTATCGATTGAGGCACTACGAAGTCTGCCGGGTCAGCTAGTAAACTATAGATTTTTTTATCGTAGGACAAGGGGTCCAGCGTCAGTTATAGCATTAAAAAAAACTTACAATACAAATATTGACGGTGTACAATAATTGTTAACACAATCGCGATTTGAATGAGTGCGACTGGAAACAGTTTGAAACGTCCGTGGACAAGACCGAACAGGTCACCTTGTTTGCACGTCCTCGTTAGTATTAGCGTTTTCGCTATTGTTAGGTTCCAACGCTTTTTTCTTTAGTTCGATGGCCGCCAGGGTCGACTGCGGCAGCGGCGGTATCGACGGGCAGGAGGAGGCCTTGATACGAGCTGTGACGTCACGATATCTCTGCGAGAAGCTAGACGGGGACACACAACGGACGCTCAACTGACGGCCGTGCGACGATGTGTTGCTGATCGTATTACCACCGGGCTTATAATTTATTGTATATTACGGTAAATGAGTCACATATACGTGCTTATTAAATACGCTTTTATTAACTTCAGACGTATGTATGTATGTAACGGAATCTTTGAACATGATTTTGAGCCCCTTCAAAACGTCGGATTAACTCGAAATTTTGTATACTTATTAAGGACCGATGATAATTCAAAATTAAAAAAAAATTGAAATTCAACTCAAAAATGAAAAATAAATAATAGTTCAAAAAAACTAATAAAATACGCTTTTATAGAAAATCCAACAAAAAATATAAAATAAATTTTAATAAATTTGAATTAAAAATAGTGTAAGAGCAAATGATTTTATTGTAAATAAAACGTGGGGTGCATGTTATCTGTAGTTATAAATATTTTATGAACAGATATGAGGACAAAGGTTATTTTGGTAATATCCTGAAAAGTACCCACGTTTTTTACAATAAAATCATTTTTTCTTATACTATTTTTAATTGAAATTTATTAAAATTTATTTTCTATTTATTAGTTGGATTTTCTATAAAAGCGTATTTTGTTAGTTTTTTTAAACTATTATTATGATTTATTAATGCCTTGTAGGGTGACCAGCGTACAGCTCAGCAAATGGTGAGTGCTTACTGTCGCCTGTAGACGTTAGCAATACTAGGGACAGAGCCAAGCCGCCGCCTAGACGACTTATAAATAAAATTATAAGGTGCTATGATTCGGTGTCTGATCAAAGCACTATTCTGTATTTTTGTTCGTTCCTTTTGGTATTTAAAAGTTTTACGGTTGAATATAAATTATATTGAGTTTTATGTCGCTGCGTTTAAAAATACCGACCTACCCGTTCGCGAGTTAGACGTTGTTTTAAACGATAATAGTTTCTAATTTCTACACAATTAGGACGTACCCGCTAAAACATGCAACGTAACAATTCATACAGGGTCACGGAACGTCAACTGTATTTCTGATACGTTTCCCTTCACCGACAAGTTTTTTTTTTTTTTTTTTAATGATTATACGATTACATAAAATATGTTAACGACCAATGAAACAGAAGAAACCAAATTAATATTATCTTTTTGACGTGATAATGTCTTATAAATCGATGAACAGCGGCTGCACGCACGAAAAAGTGTCACGTTCCGCCGGAGCCTGAGCGTGCAAGCGAGAGCGCGGAACAAACGATAGAGAGGCACGATCAGACTAAGTGTTAATTTTTCGAAAAAAAAAATCATTTAACTCCTTCTTTGTACTATACAAAATAATGATAATTCCGTGATAATCGGTCAATTAAATTCATAAAAGTGTGCAATTTTTCATCAATATTTCTTTATGACGTTATCACGTAAAAGTATCGTCCGTAAACCGATTTTACAGTTTTTTTTTTTTTGCTAGATTACATTCAGCAACACATCCCTTCACCTAACAGGACACGGTACAGACGTGGACAAACGTTACAACAACAAACGTATTATCAGAACTAACTCGTTACACCGAGACTCCGATATATCGGCTGCGACTTTGCATTTATTTTCGTAAAGGCTCGCTAAATAGCTGACAATGTTGTTTTTCGTTCTTCTGAAACGATTCGTTTTAATTCGTATTAAGTTAGCTTATTGTTATTTAATAATAATAATAAATAATAAAATGTTTAGTTTCGCTTTTGTTCGATGCTGGCATTTAAATACGATTCACATATTTATTTACAGGTTGTGTCAAGAACATTTGTACTTTCCAAGCATAATAATATACAACATTGACAGCAACGCGAATTTAAAGGTTAACCATCAAAAAGCACATTGGATATGTTCAAACACTGTGTACGTTATATACGTTTAAGTGCCAACAGTGAATGTATGCAAAAGTCATAAGATTAATTAAGAATACAGACCAACAAAAAATTGTAATTTTTTTTATTTTTCTCTCAATTTAAATGATAACAATCACCGATAACTATAAAACAACCCTATTTTAATGACTTATCACTTATGCATACATAAAAAACAAAACGATAACAAAGAGTGAATCTTTGTACATAATGATTTCGTTATCATAATTTCGTGCCAATGAAAAATGGTTTTTATTATACCCTCCGAACGTATGATATTTAAACGAAAAGCAACATTCGACTTACGTCTTGTCGTTTTCGAAGCTGTGCGTCCTCCTCAGTATCGTGTCGTCGACATTGTTCACGGCCGGTTTGTTTTCTTCTGTAAATTAAAAATTACATTTAATATGTTTTCGTGGCATATGGGATAAGACGTCCGGTGCATTTGTGTTGAGCGATGCACCGGTGTTCGAATCTCAGGCAGGTACCAATTTTTCTAATGAAATACGTACTTAACAAATGTTCACGATTGACTTCCACGGTGAAGGAATAACATCGTGTAATAGAAATGAAACCCGCAAAATTATAATTTGCGTAATTACTGGTGGTAGGACCTCTTGTGAGTCCGCGCGGGTAGGTACCACCACCCTGCCTATTTCTGTCGTGAAGCAGTAATGCGTTTCGGTTTGAAGGTTCCATGAATGTTCTCGAAGTTATTAAAACGCGTTTACGACTGACCCGACGTATCATTCCCAAAAGACGGTTTAGTCCGATATACAGAGCAGCATAGAAAACATTAGCGTCTGCGGTTAATAATGAATGTTAAACTCACTGGCTGAGTCTTGTTGCCTGTTCCTAAACGAGGCAGATCTACGCCACGAGGGCGCCTCATCGTTCTGTGCCTGTTGTTCCGCCATCTCTGTGCTTTCGGGGGACGGAGCCCGGCCCTTTGGTGGCTTCTCGGCCTTCTTAGCAATGATCTCGGGCGGCGGCGGTTTGTCTGTACACCGGTTAATGTCGAATGATGAACGTTAAGACGCTAAATGATATGTTTTAAAGGCACGTTCACTCACCCCGAGCGTTTGTTTGGACCCCCATAAAAGAAATATCGCTTCCAAAAAATCAATCATAGTAAGTATTTTAGAATACTTTTCGTCTTAAACATTTATGCAATAATTTATATTTGCAAATCTATACGGTTTTTTTTATAACACGCAATCTTAGTTTTCGAAAAATACAATCAATATAGGTAAGGTCTTAAATGTAAGGGAGAACGCTCGAGGTCATAACGCACCGGAAAGCAACGATCCGATCCGAGATTCCGAACATTCAATGACTTCAATAAAATAAAGACACTTAATAATTGGCTAATTTATTAATTGCCAAATTTAATTGTCGTATATTTCTGCTTCATCCATACTAAATGTACAACAGAAAATTGTCAGTTTTAGGGACTTTTTAAACCATACGCCAACTTATTTTTAGTTCGCTTTTTAAAAAAGTATCACAATGAACATATTATCTATTATAGTTCGGAATCGCGCATCAAATTAGTCAATAAATATATAATTATATATACAAATCGTTGCCTATAACGTGATAAAATATTAAATTTTAGTCATCGAATCAAAGATCTTACACGATAATTTTAATAATTGCTATTTTATTTCATCATAGCTTCTAAATTAAGTTCAAAACAACCGAAAAGTGTTTAATATCAAAATCATCATGTAAGTTCTTCAAAATAATGAATAGAAAATGAACGTAGTTAGAGCGACACGAGTACATTAAGTCACCGTGCAAAATTAGCATGCGTCTTATCGGTACTCATCAATCGAATTAAAATCATTCATTAATTTATACCACTAAACATATCGACGCTTGAAAGGCAAACGTGACTAAGTGACAATGCGTGAACTTTACAGTAGACTAGTTTAAAGCTGAAATAGCTGAAAAAAAATCTATTTTAACGAATCTAGCTGTAGGATTGAAATGATTTTAATAGACCTAGAAATATATATTTTTTTGCACATCGAATATGGTTATTGCCTATTATTTATGTACAAAGCAGTTATTGTCGCTTAGCCACGTTTGCCTTTCAAGCGTCGATATTGATCCACACAACTGTTAAAAGAGAGGTTATTTTACATGTTTAAATTAATTAATCTAATAAATAATCAATTAAACTAGATGTTATTGATGAATATCTAATACACAACGATCACATAATATGCCATTTACAATGTTTATGACCAACCAAATTGATATACGCTTTGTACGATGAATACGCACCGTTGACAATTTTCTCTGCTTGTCCCTTGATTTCGATGTCGATTCTTTTGACTTCGTGCCTCGGAGGGCTAAGTTTCCGTTTGTTGTTATTGACGCGACGGGGAGCCTTCAGGGCTGCCTCCTCCAGCCATGACGAGATGCTCGGATCCACCAGATCTAAGCAGGTCTGTCCCTGAAAAGAACAAGAAAATGGTTGTACATTAGTATTAGCCCAGACGCGACAATCCGGCCTATTCCTGTCGCAAAGCGGTTTCGGTTTTATTACACTGTATTATTAAAGGCTTCAAATCTCAAGACGGGTGATGGCATTCGTAATGTTACTACTATTTTCAAATGAGAATCATATTAGATCTCCGAGTCCCGAATTTCTTTAGCTGTCTGAAGGCGGGTTTAAAGAGAGCGTTTTCACTGTTCCAGACATTAGAAAATCTTTAGCTTTGGAAACGGTGGATGAGAAAACAAAATGCAAGTTTGAGACTCTTTTTGTACAAAACTTCGCTAAATATCCGAGATTTAGAGTATTTTCTTGATAACTTGAAAACGAATGAAATATTTCATGTTATTTTGAGTAAACCAAAAAAGGAAATTGGAGATGAGTTCAAAGCATTAAAATATTTAATAAAGATTTAGAAAAACAAGACTTCAAAATTGTTTTTTTTTTTATTGTAAGAATTTAAATGTATTTATTTCATTTTATTATTTTTTTACGTAAAATCTAGACTGCAGTCATTGTATGCTATGGAAGACATTTAAATATATTTATCCCAGACAGCCGAAAAGAACGCTAACCTGTAACCTGTTTTATGTATATATCTATACTGACATTATAGATAACCCACAGATAACGCCAACAGAGTTCAAAATGTTATTAAATTGAAAATAAACAAATGAACATCAAGTGTTTAGTACTAACCAATTAATTGTAGCAAAATTTAATAATTTTTTTTAATCTAACCGAATAGTTTTTGAGATGTGGATCAGCTCCGAATTTGAGTAGTAATGCTGCCGCCTCCTTTTGTCCCCACAATGCGGCCGCGTGCAACGGTGTCCAGCCCTCGTAGTCAACGCAGTCAGGATCCGCATTACAATCCTCCAGTAGAGTTTTGGCCACCTGCGTATACAAAAAACAATACTTTTTTAATACGCTTTTATTGGCTTCAGACGTATGTATGTATGTATGTATGTTTGTAACGGAATCTTTGAACATGATTATGAACCCCTTCAAAAAATCGGATTAACTCGAAATTTTGTATACTTATTAAGGACCGATGAAAATTTAATGTAAAAAAAAATTTAAAAAAAATTGAAATAATTGAAATTCAACTAAAAAATAAAAAATAGTTAATTAATCATATCTCTTCATTTTTTTATTGCTTGGATTGGTGGACGAGCTCACAGCCCATCTGGTGTTAAGTGGCTACTGGAGCCCATAGACATCTACAACGTAAATGCGCCACCCACCCACCTTGAGATACAAGTTTTAAAGTCTCAGTATAGTTACAACGGCTGCCCCACCCTTCAAACCGAAACGCATTACTGCTTCACGGCAGAAATAGGAAGGGCGGTGGTACCTATCCGCGCGGACTCACGAGTGGTCCTACCACCAGTAAAAATATTAAAATAATTATTATAAAAGCTACTGATATCATGCACCCCACGCTTTTTTACAAAAAAATCATTTTTTTTTACACTATTTTTAATTCAAATTTATTAAAATTTATTTCCTATTTTTAAGTTGGATTTTCTATAAAAGCGTATTTTGTTAGTTTTTTTAAACTATTATTTATTTTTGTATAGCCTGTGTTCTTAGTGCGATTTTTTTAACGTTCTCGATAGCGTAAAAGTTAACTCATATTTGTGTGCAGTTGGAACAGCGCGGGACCTCGTAGGAGGTTCGGCCCACTACCCGAAAAAAAAAAAAGTGCCCCTAGCGGCAAACGTAGGCAATCTTTCCAACTCCATATACGAGTTAACTTTTACGCCATCGAGAACGTTAAAAAAACTCGCTAAGCACAACGGTTTAAGATTCATCTTAAAATGTCTTGACTGTTTCCCCGGTTCTGTTCATCAAACGATCAGATTGGCAGTAAGATGATCGTCTGCACATTTATCCAGGAAAAGGCGCTCCAGAGGCCGAATTAGAATACGCCAGCGTAAATATATTGTAGAGACAACAGGTGAAACTATACTATGTCCTCGGCAGTAAAAAAAATAATTAGAAAGGCTCAATCGAGTCTATTATTTATTTATTTATTTTTATTACTTAGATGTGTGGACGAGCTCACAGCCCACCTGGTGTTAAGTGGTTACTGGAGCCCATAGACATCTACAACGTAAATGCGCCACACACCTTGAGATATAGTTCTAAGGTCTCAGTATAGTTTTATATTTACGTCGATATATCCTTTAGCAGCGGCAACGTGGAGCGGCGTGCCTCCCGTTTTCAAGTCTCGAACTTCAACGTAGCCGTGCAATGCCCATTCTCTGGCGTCACTCATCAGCGTATCAACTTCTGCATTCCTTGACTTCTCACAATCAACGCCTGCAACAAATAAATAAATAAGCTATATGAAAAGATCCCGATCTAGAATTCTTAGCCAGTTTAAGGGTATCTATAAGCATGCGTCACGAGAATATACAGAGCCAAGTTCCGAATGTCAGATATTTTTAATAAAGACTGAAATCGAACCCCTAACTCGTGGGGCAGTAGTCAGACTCAATAAACACTAATATAACGAAATGATCATGTGATCTTTTACAAAACAGGGATCTACGGCCATATGATATTTAAAAAGCTCACGTTAAAAAAAACTACAAATACTCAAAGCCTGTCTGTCGCACTGTCGATGAATTTAGTGGCTCTAACTAGTCTGGGTGAGCCCTGCTCCTGTGATGAGCGATCCGAGAATAAAAAAATACATGTTTGCAATTCACACGTGGTAGAAGTGAAACCCTCAAAAATTAAAATACAATTACCCTAAATGTAAAATTTTGTCATTAGTAAATAATTATAAATCATCTTTTATAGTATGAGGTAGCGCCCTCTGTGAATTGATATTTTAACTTCACGTATAATCCTAAATTAAAATTCACTACAAGAGGTTTCATACACGCGTTAGTATTAAAAACTCTCATAGATGGCGCTGTATTAAACTGTCTCTGTGGACTTATTTTTTCGTTTCATCGAGTTTGAAATCACGATTCTAAAGAAGTTTGACTTCAAAACTTGAGATGACTGGAGCATCTTAAACAATTCCTGAGAGGTTCTCAAGCAATTTTTATTAAATTTCTTTAAGTTTTTTACTGGCTTAGTATTAATTATTTTAAATACTCTTCTACTACAACCTTTAAGATTTTCGATTAAGATTTTTTCGTGACGTTTTTTTTTATATAATAACATGAATAAACCGGGCAAAGCATGCGTGTCTGCGGGCAATTAAAGAAAACAAAACAGCGAAAGGCACTTAGTTATAATTTATTTTCCTACAATTTTTTTTCCATATTAATGAAATGTTTGACTTTTATTCGAGTATTTGAGTACTTGAAGGGTGATAACGTATGTATTCTTGTATTTGATAATTTATGTTCCACCAGTGTATTGAGCGTTTAGTACTTGTGAGAGTGCACAAGGGAAACAAAATCGCAAGACATGGCTTCATGAGTGTTATAAAAGGTTTAATTACTTATATCTGTGTTCGTATAAAATGTTTAACCCTCGTTGTTTTCCGCGATATACTTATGAACTAATGAACCGATTGAAGTGAAATTTGCATTTTATGTACAGTTTGGGCCAACTTCGTTCAACCCAACAGTCAGATCTCAATTCATGATAACAATATTTTCAATTTTTCAATTTATTTGTTTATTAAATGACAAATGGCCATTGTTGTATATGAGGTCTGAGTTAGTTTCTAAGAGATGGTGGTGTAAGCTAACATATCGACATGATGCTTAATTGTCCAGGTTGGGTAAGTAAGTATCTAATAGATGGCGCTGTATTCAAACGTTTAATTGGTACAATCTGCATACATGTTGAAATAATCACGAATCTTTGTCCTCTATGCGTTACTGAACCGCAGATCTTAATGTGGTGAAACTAGGTACGGTTGAAATTGCCGCTGTAGGGAAGGTTTCTGTCATAATACCATCAACGTACAATGACGCGTGAACAATTTCAAGAGATCAATACTTCTCATACAAATTTTCAAAGTAAAGCGCGACCGGGTTTACTAGTCATTTGAGTTATTTTATAATTAAATGTGTCTAATTATAAAACAGTTTTGGAAATAATTTAAATAATAATGTAGATTGTATTTTTTTTATTTTCATTGTCGTATCACTCTTGACAGAGCGATCGTGGTCGTCATTCGGTATGATTGCTGTGGGCAGATGTCATGCACCTCACGAGCAATCGCCATTCCTTCCGGTTTGAGATGAGTCTGGTACACTCATGCAAACAACCGCCAACTGTCGACTTCACTTCTTCCATGCGGTTTGGTGCTTTCTTATTATTATGATTGAAGGATTACTGGTGGCCCGAAGGCTTTTCCAATTTCACCAGGACAGATGGGCGAGCAAATGCTCAGCCAGGAGGGGTGGGATTTGCTAACAACTGCCCGAGCGCCTCCAATGGAGACCTAACAACTCAAGAGCAATTGCTTCGCGAATTAATCTACTACCGGATCGGAATCGCGACCCGCTGACAAGATCCGGCGAGAAACTCAGTGGGCTTTGGTGCTTTCTACTTTACCCTGAACGACAAGGCGCTCTATGGAGTCATTTGAATCATTTCATCGCCGGGAGAAATGTCCAAAAAATGATATTTTGCACCCATGCACAATTGCTTGAATATTCAAAACAAAATTATATATAATTTACCTTTCTCGTCAATTACTTTCTGTAGCAAGTCAGCCATTGCATCGCTTTCGGCGATATCAACAGGCAACTCGCCATCATAGTTGACCGCGGCCACGTCCGCACCGCTCTCAAGGAGATACCTGAAAATATATTAAGACTATTAATTATTATTTAAGAGATATTTAATTCGTTTTTGAAGGACGTAGCAATTAGACAATTTTTTCGATTATTATTAATCTATACTAAAAATTACATATTACGTTTTCCAATGTAGTTACGTACGAAATATTAATTTATTCATTAATATTAATTTACTTTTAAACTTAAGAAAAGTAGTTTAGTAGGCACATTTTTTTAAGTTACTTATAAAATAAAACAGCCGCTGATCCAAGTCAGGAACGTTGGTCTCTGATGGACTCGAAGCATTTGGAAGTGCCAGTCGTAGCATTCCACAAAGCCGTTGTAGCATAAGGTAATTAAATTCGGGAACATAAATATGATCACAATACCTAAATTCTAATTATTCACTGACTGAGAGGACGAATACAATTAACACAGGGATATCAAAATTAATCATTATAAAATTACCACGTGAATAATAAAAAATATATTCACGGCTACGACTCGTGTATATTAGTTAACCACGCTAGATAGATACGTCAAGATTTGATCTTCGTAATCTCTCTACCACGGTTTTGTATATACATGTTTCTAAGAAAATTGTTTTTCAGGCATATTTACATTATGTCTAGATCTAGGATGAGCCAAAGTAAAATAATACCGCTAAATAAATTTAACAATTATTATACGAAAAGTCAAACTGTGAATAAAGAAAAGATTATTAAAATCAGAGTCTTTAAAGACACCATATTTTGGCGTGTTTTGATACAAAACAGTGTTAAATACGGTTAATGCTTAAATAAGGGAAAGTTTTCGCTGCGTGAAAATTGGACTGTTTTTTTTTCCTTTACAGCCTTGACCTTTTTTTCATTTCATTCCACTTGGTAGATATTAAAATCGGTAGATGCTCTGTAGATGTTGATGAGAATAATTATTAAATCATTTTTGTTTACAAACTGATTCGTAAGTACACAATACCAACAATAATTTTAATACAATGAATATCGTTGTTCATAGAAACGCCGTCAGTGGGTCAGACTGAGTCACAGTTTGTGTACATTGAACGGATCAGGTGCCCTATCGGGATGCGTCAACGTGTACACTTTAATTATTCGTACTGGCTCAGAGTTACGATAGTTGTGCGTATCCGAACAAACATGAAAATTTAATGTCAACTCACAATAATATTGTGAATGTGAACATGTTTGTTTATGTCCTTCTTCAAACGAGGCTTGTGGAGAGTATTAAACGGTAGGCAACGGCTTGGCTCTGCCCCTGGCATTACTGACGTCCATGGGCGACGGTAACCACTCACTATCAGGTGGGCCGTATGTATGCTCGTCTGCCTATACGGCAATAAAAAAATTAAAAAAACATTTTTTTCCCGATCATTTCATTCTGTTGCGGATATTATTAGGACAAAGTAATAAAATTATTATTTCGGTATCGGGATTTTTATCTATTTATTTATTTTAGGCCTTTTATCGATATCCGCTTATGTCTAAAACCAGTTTATCTAAAATTCACAGTACTCGTATAAATAATTAAAATAAAAGTACTTAAATCAAAGGAAACAACGGAATATCGTCAACAGCGCTATAAAACAAAAGCACAAAACCATTCAATCTTACAAAATATTCTAAATCACCTATCCTAGAAGTAATTTTTTTTAGAGTCCTTGATACATTAACGCGAATACTCAAGCAGAACTCTTGAAGTTGGTGAAAGATTTCGGTCGGAAAATTCCAAATCAGTCTAGAAAGCTCAACAAGATGAAAAAAAATCTAAAGAGTAAATCTAAAGAATAATTTTACTTTATCCATATAGAATGTAAATAAACGAATGGAGTAAAGTAAACTGAAAACTTTATTTTTTAACTAAACAAAGTTTAAAAACTTGTCGTATGCTATATAAATGCTTACTTGTTTTGTGTCTTTTGGTGTAAGCGCTCTATAACGCGAGGACTGCTGAAAGCCACACCCTGGATTCCAGTGAGGGCTCAGAATCTGGGGTCCGTTCACTTAATTGAGTTACATTGGGTGCAATGTACAAACATTAGGAAAATATAAAATGACTAATGTAATTTTAGTTATTATATATGATATCAGTTATCACTAACAATATTGTCTGTCTTCGTTTTTAGGACCGGTTAAGGTACAACCTGTATAATTCACGAAGTACAGGGCATTCGCGCGTTCACCGCGAATAATGACCGGTTTGTTATGGAGTCACATGTTCACAGGAGTAAATGCATTGTCCTGTAAGTAGGCGACAGCACTAGTCTTCTTACAATTCCCGTAGCAATTTTTCGAACAAGGTACGTACGATATCGAAAAATTTCAGCAGATACAATAAACTCAATCAAATCAGATATTAAGCAGTTATGTCTGACACCTTTTACATAACATAGTCTTATTATCAGCTCTCTAACAGCAGCTAGTTTCTACTACTTCTAGGGTCGTTATATTCTACTCTTGGTCTGACAATTTATTGCGCGTTATCGTGTCCTAAATGATATGCATTTCCATCGAGAGATGCGACTGTGCCGGTATTCGAATTCCGGAGGCAGGTAAAAAAATCTATTATAATGAAATCTGTACTTAAGAAATGTTCACGAATAACTTCCACTGTGAAGGAATAGCACTGTTTTATAAAAGTAAATTAAACTCGCAAAACATGATTTGCGTAATTACCGACGGTAGGTTGTCTCGTACCACTACCCTAATTATTTCTGCCGTGAAGCAGTATAGAACTCATGTCTCATGTTAGGTGACGGAATTTGCGTTTTTGTCCATGGGTTTCGGTATCTAGAAGGATCGTGAGTTCGTATAACTATCTGAGATTTCTGAGAAATAAAAAAAACCCTTTGAATCTACAGGAGACTAATTCCTGCTGTAATTTTTACGGTTTGTTCGAAATAAATCTGCGGCTACTTAACAAAAAGTCAGAACATTATCTGGAATCATTGCATTCATCCATTATCAAGGGTTATTTTTTAAATTTCCATCAAACTATGGAGTTAACAAAAAAATCCTAAACTACATGTAGATAGCGGTTTAGTAGAGGTCCGAGCCAGCGCTAAATCCACGAGAGATGCTAACTGTTTACGATTATACGGACCGTAAGCTTAGCTACCTTTGTTAGCAATAAAAGTTTATGATGACATTCAACAAATGTGCCACCGCTATACTCTCCTTGTTTTGATTTAAATCTAATATGAGCGATCTGTTTTCTATTTCTACCGCAAGCTTTTTATTTTTTAAATGACGATATTTTTCTTTTTCGTATTACTTCAGAGACGAAACCGAATAAATCGTAATTAGTAGTTACCTTGCTATACTGATGAAGCCACAAGAAGCAGTAGCGTGCAGTGGAGTCCAGCCTTCGTTGTCGCCGCGGTTGACATCCGCACCATGAGTTACTAAAAACTCCACCATATCCAAGTTGTCATCAATACACGCCTGGAAAATAAATTAATTTCTATCAAACATTGCGAAGGCAAACCATTAATGGCTTACTAATTGAAGCTATGCGATAAAGATGTATATATATTAATATAAAATAATATAAAATAATTTGTGTTTGTAATTTTAACGGCTGGTTAATTTGATACTAGTTCCTTAGTAAAATTGGATTAGAAGCAATTTTAATTAGTTTAAACAAATAAATAAAACTATTATTTCAATGGCTACCGGCCGTCTGGTGTAGTGGTAAGTGACATGGTCACTACACAAGGGGTTCGCGGGTTCGAATCCCGCCAAGGGAAGATATTTGTATGATAAATATAAATGTATTTTCCAGAGTTATGGATGTATATTCAATAAATGTATGTGTATAATAAAAATCTTACATTTATTTCCGTTATCTGGTACCTGTAACACAAGTTCTTTACGAACTTATCACGGGACCAGTTAACGTGGCGTGATTGTTAGTAAATATTTATTTATTATTATTTATTTATTATTATTAGATGTCCACGGACTCCAGTAACCGCTTAACAACTTAATGGCTATGCGATAAAATCAATAAATCGCGTGCGACAAATGCCATCTTTCAAATTGTAGCCAAGGACTGTTTTGTAGCACTAACAGACTTTACATTACAACCAGGTTACCCAAAATATATTTGGAGACCGTTCTAATAAATTACGTTTATCATAATTATATACTCGTACATGTTGTACACTTCATATTGGGAAAGCTTTATTGTGATAAATAACATTTCCCGGGTGGATTCGCATGATATTGGCTTGAAACAGACTAATCATTTTAGGCAACGACAGACCCCAGGGATCGTCTCTTCGTTAAGGTATTATTGGAAGTGGATATTTTTATGTCGGGAAATTACACAAAAAGTACGTTTGATGTAGAAATATGTATGTTATACCTAACGCTTTTTGATAAATCTATATTGTGTTGTAGGTCACGTGGAAGGAATGAGAAGTCGAGGAAGATTGCCAACCAGGTGGACGGACATTATCAAGGAGGCCACAAACACCAGCGTCCCGGGCGCCATTAAGCAGGCCGAATGCAGGCAGCATTGGAGGAAGCTGGTGCAAAAACTGGACCAAGGTGGTCACGACCCTCAGTAATGAGGAAACGACAAAGAAGAAGAAGAAGAAGATATTAGGTTACTTTACGTGGTAGAGTTAATATTGTTATTTTTATTTTGACATTCAACAAGTGTGTCATACTGACATCTAAGTTGAAATAAATGATTTTGAATTTGAATTTTGAATTCATTAGCTTTTTTCGTATTAGGTAATGAAAGTAAAAGAATTGTTGCACAACTGTACTGCTTTAGGTGGTTAATGATTAAAGACTATATATACATCGTGCAATACAATAAAATAATTCAACACTAAAATCTTTTACGTATATTTTTACATATATATTTTGTACGTACCACAAAAAAATTTTTTACAAAAAAATCTTGTTAAACCGGGCTTGTTAAAGAGGACAAAGTATAAATGCCAAATGTTAAATAGGTTAATTCAACTCTACAATCAAAGAAATCCTCGCTAACTTTTATGTTTAATCGTTAAAAATGAGACTGCAACACACCAGTAGCTAGAAATTAAAACGATTTCGGATGTGTAATCAAAGAAAACGTTTTCTAAGAAAAATATTCCATACTTTGTTTACGCGATGAATGAAACTTTCGTCTCAAACTTGAATCTTTTATGAAAATGCACATTTTTTTAAATTAAGCTTTCATTCGTTTTATTCCCTGAATTGTCGGTGACATAATATCACATATCAGTATGTATTTTAATAATGTATAATTATGTATTGTATGTATTATTAAGTATGAACTTTGCAGAGCAAATAAATTGTATATTTCATTAGCTCAGTTGACAAGGCACTACGGCTTACCGTTTGGTTGGTATTTTAACATAATCCGTGGACATAAATGTAGATGGCGCAATCAACCACTAGACATTATGTGGAAGTCTTTACCGCTGGGACAAACTACTAACTTTATCCTTGAAATTATTCAATAAATTTTACTTAACAGAATCCCGCACGATTATAACCAAAAGCCTTTTACAGTGTAGCTCATAATCTATTAGTGCAAATTAATAGTCGAAGTGAACTAAAGTACCAATTTAACTGGGAACTAGATCATCATTGGATCAAATCGCTGAAATACATGTAATAAACAAAAAATCCTTTTGCTTACTCCGAGTTTTTCAAACTATTTATCGCGATCATAATACTAACCAAAAATATACACCTTATCACTTTATTACAAAAAAAAAACAGTACATTAGAATTACGCGTACAGCGAAACATTTTAATTAATATGTTAATTTAAAAAAGTAGCTGTAAAATGGAAAAAAAGTCAAGTATTCTGTTACATTATTCATTACGCATTTCGAAACGAAGTTGTTAAAGTACCCCGTGGTCAGAGAGATAGGTCTCACAGTACGTGGTCAGTCTACAGTAACTCTACCACTATTAAACCGCAAAGCAACGGCACAAATTATGCCACGGTTCAATGCGAGTCAATGATACGCGACATCACATCTTAGTTGATGCACGCTAAAAATACATATTGCGAGACATGCAATATTTCATGGCAATGGTATGACCGCAACTATGGGCGATATTTTATATTAAAACTAGCTGACCCGGCAGACTTCGTAGTGTCTCTATCGATAAATAAAATATCTAAACTTTTGTATAAATAAACTTAAAAGAAACAAAAGCAAACCGTCCGACGGGGGATACATCAAAGGAAAAACAAAATTGTTATTTTTATTTAATTCCGAGCATTTTCATTCATTTATCTACCTTTTAAACCTTCTCTGGACTTCCACAAATAATTCAAGACCAAAATTAGCCAAATCGGTCCAGCCGTTCTCGAGTTTTAGCCAGACTAACGAACAGCAATTCACTTTAATATATTTAAAGATGAAATAAAATAATGTTATCATTTCTCAAAATGACCATGAATGAAACAATTGCTTATAATGACTTCAATTTTGTTTTTCAAAGAGGGTAGCGGTAATGATGATAGTAAAAAGAAAATCAAATATTATTCAACGCTTTAGATATATGTATAGACAAACTCAGGTCTTTCTGGTATAAAATAGTCGCCGGATCTTACGGACATCAGAATATAAGTACTGTCCACTTGAAGATGTAGTATCGATTATCGATTATCGAAGTATCGATTGTATTTATTACATTTAAATTCATGTTCCACCCTTCAAACCGGAACAAATAACTGTAGGCGTTCTTTAAAGTATTTTTACCTACTAATAATTTCGAAAAAAATCCTAAACCTTGGGGAGTTCACCAAAGTTATTATTAAAAGATTGCAAAAATAAGTGAAACATGTTTAGGGGAGGAGGCTATTTTTTACAAATAAAGTACATCTAAGTAACTTGACAGATGTAGTTGCAATGGGAGTCATAATTGAAAAACCGCACCTCGCCGATTTGTCACATTTTTTTGATTATTGAGTGTCACGAGAATGATTTTGTACTCAAACAGGACTTTGCAACCGAGTAGTTTAATAGACAGACTTGCTTTTTATTTTATTTTTTATTGCTTAGATGGGTGGACGAGCTCACAGCCCACCTGGTGTAAAGTGGTTACTGGAGCCCATAGACATCTACAACATAAATGCGCCACCCACCTTGAGACATAAGTCCTAAGGTCTCAGTATAGTTACAACGGCTGTCCCGCTATTCAAACCGAAACGGATTATTGCTTCACGGCAGAAATAGGCACACAAGAGGTCCTACCACCACTAAACTAAAAAACTTTTAACACTAAAGGGTATTTTTGAAGGAATAATCATCGATATTATAATCCGATTATTTCAATGTGATACGAAAGATGCGTTCGATACATTGTGCAGCAGTATGTAACACGCAGGGTCAGTGCCATGACCGCTGGCGCGTGTCGGGATTGCTGGGCCAACGTGTACGTTGACTGTGGAGGCAAACGGTTTGCCGCTTCGAAGCTAAGACGAATAGACTGACGATGTTTTAAAAAAAAGTTGAAATCTCAATAAAAAAACAACGCCTTGTGTTTTATAATGCGGCAGCCGTTATTTATTCTGCAGGCAATGTAATACAAAAATCAAGTTTAGAAAAAAACACTAAAGATTTTTTTAAGCACACAATTAAAACTTATTTTACGATTTAATCTCCTGTTTCTTATCGTCAGTGTAATATTATATAAAAAGTTTTGAATACTTTACAGTTTTTTGTAAATATTATACAAAGAAAATCGCCAATTTAAACCGTAAAAGTAGGTAGTTTTAATTAAGGCCACGACGACCAGCGAAATCCGACTAAAACAAACATTAAAACACTTTTTATTTTAATTTGTTCGACTAATCAGAAGCTACGACTAAACCGAGTTTGGCTAGTTTGGTTTAATTAGGCTTGAATTAATTGGAATTGTTATTCGCTGTGGCTTTTTATGTAACTTAAGCGATATCATATTATGTATATTTAAATAGAAGCAAATAACCCCAGTCGGAGCTTTCAAAAGACGCGCCGCGATGCCTGGTCAACCGAACAACTGAAATATCGAAGCTTTTTATTGCTTGATGGAAATAACCAGCTCGCAGTTTTATTGAGAACGACGTCAGCAACGATTTGATCTGAAGGAACATTATGACAATACGATCTTCTCTTTACGTCTGTCTACTAAAGTATTCATTTAAGCGAATCGAAACTCATGGACTGAGTTGCGGCCACGTTGTTGTTGTTTTGACTTTGTAAAATTTTAGCTTTGCACCACTGAAAACAAAACAATTTATTTTTGTTTGCTTGCAAGACCAATGCAAATATAGCAAATCAATTTCGCTGCACGACAAAATAAATTCGCATGGCAAACGCAGCGCCAACGCGCACAGCTTCGGAGACGAAAACGTTCCTAAATATGTTAACAAAACACTATTCTAGGGGTTATTTGAAAGCCTACCGCATAGCTTCTAT